AAAGAGATGCAATATTCTTATAATCAAGTTTTACCAGAGGGTGTAACCGGCTTCAAGAGTATTTTGAGAGAGAGGGTATCACAATTTTTTCGTGTAAAATATTATAATTTGGTGATGGTAGTGGATTGTTTTCAATCCTAAGGTTTTCCCTGTTAAGGGCATTTCATGTTAAATATTGTGTCATTTTATTTATTGCACTTGTTGATTTTTGAGGTTTTTATGAGTTCTAAAAATCTCAACAAGTGATATAGAGCGGGGTTTGACAAGTCGTGAAGGTTCAAGCGATGTGTAATTGGTGAAGCATTGGAGATTGATGGAGCGGGGATCGACACCAGCAAAGTAGACACACAGTAGATGGCAGAAGCGCTGCCAAGAGTTGGGTTTGTTAGTCTCTGTTTGCGTGAAAAGTTAGAGAGGAGTCACGTGAACAGCACATGAAGAAAATATAAAAAAACAAAGATTACTGTAGTAGGCAGCGATTGTTCATGTGGGTGAGGGAAATAATATCTGATGGCACAGATTGATTTGTCTTCTAATCGGGGAACTGGAGGCAGACTTTGACGATACAGGAGTTGTTCCTCGGTTTTTTTGACGTGTTGAGTTTGTTTTTAATGCCAATTCCACCAAATTCAACTTCTAGAGTGACTGATTTGAATACGGTTGTTGTTAGAGGATGGTGATATCTTCTGATCCGAAGTTCAATATTCCGCTATTTAACGGTAAGATAATTTTTTCAATATGATAGTACACGATTGAAGACCTTCTGGTGCAACAGGGTGTTGATCAAGCTTTGCAGGAGAAACCCGAAGGGAGGATGATGAATGGAGTTTCATGCAAAGGAAGACGAACAACACAATTCGTTTGGCACTCATTCCCAAGATTAAGTACAACGTTATGCATGAGACTACGCCAAGGGGGTTGTGGGCCAAGCTCGAAGGAATTTATGCGTCAAAGTCGATGACCAACCGATTGTGTTTGTGGATAGTTTCACTCATTGAAGATGGAAAAAGATACTGCAACTCAAGACCATATCAATGCCTTTAATCAGCTAGTATGTCAACTTACGAATATTGATTAGAAGATTAAAGAAGAATAGCAAGTGCTACTCCTGCTGTCTTCCCTAACGGAGTCGTATAATCCATTGGTTCAGACAATAATTGTGGGCAAACAGACTCTGAAATTTGATGATATGACAGCACTCCTACGTGAGAACGAAAAAATGATGGGAAAGGAAAGCGCAACTAATGATAGTGAGAATGCACTAGCTTTTGAATGTTCTAATCGAGGGAGAAGTAAGGGGAGATGTGACAGTTATTGATGAATGTCAAAATCTCAGGCCCAAGACGATAGCAAAAAGGAGTGCTACTGTTACAGAGAGAAGGGCCACATTTAGTTCAGATGTTCAAAGATGCAAGATGATTTGAAGAACATTAGACAGATGAAGATTTAAGAAAATGAAAAGAAATTCTCGGCAGTTGTGTGTGATGAAAATATGGTGTTAGTGATGGAAAGTACTAACACTAATGCGAGTAACACTTAGGTATTAGAGTCTGCAAACATCTATGCATGTTTGCAACAACAAAGAGTGTTTAGACAGATTGAAGACATATTAAGAATTTAGTGATGTGATCGTTAGAAATAATAAGAATATGAAGGTTGAAGATGTTGGGAGTGTTCAAAGCTTCACACTAGGAAGGTCGAAATACTTCGTCATGTGACATGTGTTGTCGTGTGGTGCTAATTTAATTTCGTTGGCTGAGATGGCATTGCATGGGTACAATTATATGGGTGAAGGAGACGTGCAAAGTGTATAAATATGGTGTATAAAGTGTTGATAAGTTAATGTAATTGTGGGATATTAGAGGGGTTTTTATGTAAATGTGTGTGTAAGGCTATATAAGCTAAGCTATTCTATCAATAGAAATCATCTTTTAACCCTATGCTTTCAACATGGTATCAGAGCCATAAACCTAGCCGCCTCTCCACCATTCTCCGTCCAGATACAGCCTTGACAAGGAGGTCCTGAGCCCCGACGACGAGGTCCCGATCGTGACGACAACCTGAAGCTCTCGGACCCCTGACGGCAACCTGATCGCGACGACCGACGACGAAGCCGCTGAAGCCCTAGCTCTCGATGAAGCTGTTGTGGACTTGACGAAGTTGACGACCTGACGAAGCCCCGACCTGAGGAAGCCACTGTGGAAACCCTAGCTCTCAATGAAGGCTGGCCAAGAACAGAGAGGAGATGGGAGGTCTGCTATGGGATCCTGGTTTGTTTTCTTTTAAAGGAGTTCTCTTTATTAGAAGATTAAATAGTTGTGTTGCGATCTTGGTGCGGTGAGCGTGGAAGATGGCTGGGGTGTGCTTTCTGGAAGAGAACGAGCAGGGGGTTTCATTTATAATTGTGCAGTAATGGGTTGTTGAGGTGAAAATAATAATTTATGCCACGATTGGAGGAAGAGGATTGAGTATCTGGTAATATCTTGTGGATTGCATTGGTGTGAGGAAACTGAATACAAGTTGGATCGATGGCGGAGACTGACAGTAATCCGATGGAGATCATCAAAAAATTGAATCCTGAGGAGATCTTAACATTGATGCAACTGATGAGGTTGTCGGCGGGAGAGGGCTCGACAAAAACACCACCCAAGAAGGTGGAGCTTCCACCTATCGATGTAAAGCTTGATGGACCCGCGACATATCTGAGTTGGTCACGTCGGGTGAAATATACCCTTACCGAGAGGAGCCTGGAGGGATATCTGACGAGGGAGAAGACTGAGCCAGCTAAGGGTTCCGCAGGGTTAGATGAGTGGAAGTCCACTCATATGTTGGTGTACATCTGGCTTCTGAATTCTGTAGTCCAACCAATTGCTGCCACAGTGGATGACCTTGGGAGGGTGCAGGATGTTTGGGAGAAGCTGAGGAGGACCTACGATGGGGTGGGGAATAACCTGAGGGTATTCCAAATCGAGAAGGTGATCAGCGCTATAGTCCACGGAGAGAGGACTGTACAGGAGTACGCCACAGAGCTGGAGCGCTTGTGGATCGATCACGATCACTTCTCGCCCCTAGCGAGCTGCAAGGACTCGGAGTGCAAGGAGCGCGAAGCCTCTTTGCAGAAGAGGATCATGTTATTTCTCCGAGGCTTGGCTCCAGTGTATGAGCAGAGGACGACATTGCTACTAACCCAGACGAAGATTCCACCACTGGAGGTAGTCTCGGCCATGATACAGGAGAGGCGTATCAGGCTACTGGCTGGGACAGGTGGACTTACAGGGGAGAAGTCTGCACTGGTGGTCTCCAACCCAGGTAACACTGGATTCAGAGGGGAGACCAGGTAGTGCTTCAACTACGGAGAGGTAGGACATCTAAGACAGATGTGCCCTAAGCCACCCAAGGAGAAGGACTGAGATGGACGTGGTCAGGCTGGAGATCGTGGCCGTGGCCGTGGAGGCAGGCGAGGTGGAAGAGGAGGCCACCGGGAAAACTTGACGGTGACAGAAAGGGAAGAAGCTGAGATGATCTTCACTGATGAGGATCGGGCGCTCTTGACAGCACTGAGGAAGCAGAGAGCAGTAGGTGATGTGTCTGAGGAGGCATCTACTACTTTTTTTGAAGGAAACTAGGCCAATTACGCCCTTCGCGCACACCCAAATAAGGGAAGATCTACCATCTGGATAATGGATTCTGAAGCATCCAGACATGTGATAGGTAATGTCAGTGAGTTCTCATCTTACACTCACTTGGCAGAAGCAGAGAGCATCCAGATCGCTGATGGTACAGCACAGGCTGTGATTGGTAAGAGCACTGTTAGTTGTACAGGTTCTATAACTTTATCTAATGTTCTGCATGCTCCTTCATTTCCTGTTAGCCTGTTATCCATTAGTGTCATTATCCTCTAACTAAATTATATTGTTTCTTTTGACATTCCTAAGGTGGTCTTCCAGAAGAAGAGGACAAGACAAAGACTTAGGACTGGGACATGACGTAACGGGCTGTGATACCTGGACCGCAAAGGGATGGACTCAGCACTGACATCTGTAGTTGAGAGGACGGGAGCAAGAGGAGCTAAAGTGTGTGCAGAAGATGAGTTGATACTCTATCATCAACGAACAGGACCCCTGTCATTCGGTATTTTGGGAAAATGTATCCAATTCTATTTGAAAAAGTAAATAAGCAGAAACTTTAGTGTGATGCTTGTGAGTTTGGAAAGCTTACTAGAAGCTCCTATGTTAGTTCGGGTAGTAGGAATTCTTGTAAGTTTGAAGTAATACACTTTAATGTATGGGGACCCTACCCAGTAAATTCTATAAATGGATGCAAGTTTTTTGTTACATTTATTGATTGCTTCTCTAGAGTCACTTGGGTGTATCTTATAAAAAACAAAAGTGATGTAGTTGGTTGTTTCAAAGATTTTCATAAGCACGTCCAGACTCAGTACTGTGCAGTAGTAAATGTGTTGAGGTCGGATAATGGGACAGAGTACACCAACAGAACACTTGGGGAGTATCTATCAGCTCAGGAGATTCTACATCAAACTACATGTCCATACACCCCAGCCCAGAATAGGGTAGCAGAGAGGAAGAACAGACATCTCCTAGAAGTTGCTAGGAGTATGATGATGGCGATGAATGTCCTAAAGATGTTGTGGGGACAAGCAGTCTTGACTGCTGCTCATTTAATCAACAGGATGTCTTCGAGTGCGTTGGACTGGAAGTCACCTCGTGAGACACTAAAAGGAGATAACGGGGGCCTACCATTGAAGGTATTTGGCTGTGTGTGCTTTGTGAAGGACAACAGACCATCGGTTGGGAAACTAGACCCTAGGACCGTGAAGTGTATATTCGTGGGATATAATGGCACCAAGAAAGGGTATGTTTGCTGGAGCCCGGTGGAGAAAATGTTGTTTGTCAGCATGGATGTGCGGTTTCGAGAGCTCGAGCCGTACTATACAGTGGAGGTTACTTCACCTTTTGGCGACTTGCCTAATACTGGAGGTATGAGGTGAGGGAGAGAATGATGAGAGCTCAATGGGGTTAATCCCAATTTCGATTACGTACTCAAAGGAGGAGGATGAAGACGAAGGGAAGGAGGAGACAAGGGGTGTTAGGCCTACAACTCAGGGGTAGTTACTTACATACAGTAGGAGAGGTAAGGAGCCAGAGGTGCTTACAATGACAGTGACAGTGCCAGTGCCTAGTCCCCCGTCCAGCTCTACTCCAACTCCTGAGACACCTACACTACCCTCCACCTCAGGTAATACCATTCTTACTCCTACCCCTCTTCCCACTCCAATATCAGTAAAGAGGACTACTCGCAGTAATACGAAAAATCCTCCTCAGAGATATGGTTGGGATCTAGCTCAATTTGTTTCCTATTCTCACATATCCCCTTCACATGGAGCACTCATTATATCATTAGATTCTGTTATTATAACTAACTGGCAGGATGCTAAGAAAGATCCAAAGTGGAAGGCAGCTATGCATGAGGAGCTGGGAGCTCTTGAAAAGAGCCACACTTGAGAATTAGCGACACTGCCAGCAGGGAAAAGAACAGTGGGATGCAAGTGGGTGTTTACCGTGAAGCAGAATCCGGAAGGGAAGGTTGAACGATACAAGGCACGACTGGTAGCAAAAGAATACAGCCAGACATACGACATTGACTACGATGAAACTTTTACACCAGTGGCGAAGATGAGTATTGTTCAGACGTTGATTTCTCTGGTAGCAAATGGTGGATGAGAACTATACCAACTGGATGTGAAGAATACGTTTCTTCATGGAGATCTAGTGAAAGAGGTGTATATGGAGATACCACCTGGATATGGCACAGGATAGACAGTGGGTAAGGTCTGCAGGCTAAAGAAGTCTCTTTATGGGCTGAAACAATCCCCTCGAGCATGGTTTGACAGGTTCAGGAGAGCCATGGTTAGTATGGGATACAGACAGATCAATGTCGATCATACTGTATTCTTCAGAAGAAGTAGGGGTCACGTCACTATGTTGACAGTGTATGTGGATGACATGATCATCACAGAGGATGATGAGAAGGAGATTGCTCAGCTCAAGGTAAGATACAGTGTATGTGGATGACATGATCATCACAGAGGATGATGAGAAGGAGATTGCTCAGCTCAAGGTAAGATTGAGCAAAGAATTCGAAGTGAAGGATCACAGAGGATGATGAGAAGGAGATTGCTCAGCTCAAGGTAAGATTGAGCAAAGAATTCGAAGTGAAGGATCCGGGTCAGCTTCGATACTTTCTTGGGATAGAGATAGCTCATAGACCTAAGGGGATTGTTCTCACCAAAGGAAGTATGCACTGGATCTTCTTGCAGAAATGGGGATGTTGGGGTGCAAGCCTACTACTACACCGATTGATCAGAGTCTCAGGCTGAGTGCTGAGGCAGGAGAACATGTTGATCGTGAGAGATATCAGAGATTGGTGGGCAAACTAATCTACTTGAATCACACACGTCCAGATATCTCATTTGCGGTAAGCGTGGTGAGCCGCTACATGCATGACTCGAGGAAGGATTATATGGATACAGTATACCAGATACTGAGATATCTGAAGGATGCCCCTGACAAAGGACTAAGGTTCAAGAGGAGTGACCATGTGAACATTAAGGACTACTGTAACTCATATTGGGCTAGCTGCAGAGATGATCGGAGGTCTACCTCAGGGTATTGCATATTTGTAGGAGACAACTTCCTGGAAAAGCAAGAAGCAACCTGTGGTGGTAAGATCAACAGCTGAAGCAGAGTACAGAGCGATGACCTTAGAGGTTGCGAAGTTGATGTGGCTGAAGAGCATGCTGGTAGAGCTGAATCTTGACCAAGGGACCAAGATGAGTTTGTGATGCGATAACAAGTCAGCTATCAGCATCGCCAACAACCCAGTTCAGCATGACAGAACTAAGCACATCGAGATGCGATAACAAGTCAGCTATCAGCATCGCCAACAACCCAGTTCAGCATGACAGAACTAAGCACATCGAGATTGATAGATTCTTCATCAAGGAGAATCGCCAACAACCCAGTTCAGCATGACAGAACTAAGCACATCGAGATTGATAGATTCTTCATCAAGGAGAAGCTGAATAGTGGGCTACTAGAGTTAGGCCATGTTCCAACTAAGGAGTAGGCTGCAGACTGCTTGACTAAAGGACTTAGCTTAGTAGATCTAGCTAGAGGGTGTGACAAGAATGGCTTAATAGATATCTTTCGCCCATCTTGAGGAGGAGTGTTGAGAAGTTGTAATTGAGGGATATTAGAGGGGTTTTATGTAAATGTGTGTGTAAGGCTATATAAGCTAAGCTATTCTATCAATAGAAATCATCTTTTAACCCTATTCTTTCAACATAAAGAATAGCAATCATATTTGCTATTTAGATCGACATTCTGTTAATGGTGCAAGTGACTTCTCTCAAATTTTTGTCCACAAGGGAGAGGTGAAGAACGAAAAGATAAGAGCGAGTTTTTTCTAAAGCCATTGAAATACTTGGAGATTTTTTGTTGAGGGAAGATATGTTGGGTACCAACTCAAATACCAAGTTAGGTCCAAATTTGAAGGCTAGGCCCAATCCTAATAGTTTTCTTAGAGACCAAATTGACAGTTTTGTTGGAGGCCAGGTTGACTTGGTGGACAAGTTAGAGATATCTTTAAATAAGACATTCTATTCTAGGGTTTTTTAGTAGAGAGAGATAAAATATTCTTGTAATCAGGGTTTAACAGATGGCATAACCGGCTTCAAGGATATTATAAGAGAGGGAGTTTTGCAGTATTTGTCCATGCAAAAGATTTTAATTTGGTGGTGATAGTAGATTGTTTTCGATCCCGTGATTTTCCCTATTTGAGGGTTTTCTACGTTAAATATTGTGTAATTCTATTTGCTATGTTTGTTGGTTTTCAAGGTTTTTACAAGATCTAAAAATCCCAACAACAAAAGTACAGTGTATAACATATCGTCATAGAAGGCAATAAACTACCACCACATCTGTTACTAGAATGTTTTATCATGTTCCTATACTGCCATAATTTAAATCTCAAATACATCTTAATCAGCTAGATATCAGCACTAATTTCTTTTACAACTTTCAGGATAATAGTCCGCAGGAAGAAAATATTGTCTTTATGTATGTATTATTTCATTGATGCCATTGTTGTGATAGTGAGTAAAATAAAGCACATAGAATGCAAAATGAATCAGATGGCTGGCAGTTATGCTTTCATCCAGTAATTAGGAGTGAACAAGAAAACACATAGCAACATCACAGAAGATGAATTGCATGCACAATCTTACTTTGGTGGTTTGAAAGATTCTCCCACTTGACGCCATAACTTGCAGGCTGTTACCTGAAGATGCAATTGATTCACTTGTTAGGTTAGTTGCACAAAACGCACACCAGAACTAGCAATCTTAGATATTTGTTGATGTCTCCAGGAAGCAATAAATTAACTAGTACATAATGCTCATGTGATTGATATGGCCTATGTATATCAGATAACTATCCAACTTCCTGATATTTAGACAGTTCCTGCTCCTTATGGTGTATAATTAATCCACCTTCAATTTCAACGTACAATAAAGAACCAAAAAACTTCAAGAGCAGGCATAAAGAATGTATAAGGTGAAGTATTACAAAACCCTAAATTAGCAAGATCTCAAAGCTTTTGTTCAAAAAGGCACAGACACGTTGCAAATAATTTCAGAAAAAGTTTTGTTGGATAGTGAAGATTGAGAAGCATGATGCTACTGACTAATGGACAGCAAAGGAGGCACACATATCAAACCAGCTTTTTTTTTTTTTTTGGGGGGG